CATACTGGGGATAATCATAGGACACCAGGGAGAAAAGATAAGTGTTGGCAACGTCGGTTCCCAAGTTGAGGTTGTTCTTGAGAGTATTAATATCTGTTGGTGCCAAATTGACGGTCATGGTGTCACTATTCGCCTGCGTGCCGGCGGGGCTGGTGATAGCCAGGGCCTCGCTGCCATTAGCATTGCTGAGGTACAATGCACTTGGGTTGAGACTGGCAGCGTAAATGACCTCTGAAAACGATAGTTGCAGTTGGTTGGTGTCCAGATCGAGAACAAAGGATTGAAGCTCAGGATTCACTTCATCTCGGTCCAGTCGCGAGACATTGAGAGCGTTCGAGATGAGAATGGCATCCGAAGGCAGCCCATGCACGTCGTATACGCATCCACGATCCAAAGCGATGTAGCTGGTGTTGAGGGAGACCGCAAGCGCTTCCAGGCTGCGCAGCTGATTCTGCTCCTGAGCTGTTAGAGTGATGGTCAGCCGTGTGCCGTTCAACTGGGCACCTGCGTTACCTTGAGCTCCAAGGCGCACACTCTGAGTTGGGTTGCTTGGGTCATTTTGAATGATCACAGCAGACACATTGACGATGGACAGGTTCAAAGGTTCAGAAAACGTGAGAACAATGTTGTTGGCGGTGAGGTTGATGGTTGCATCAGTGGCAAACGGTGTCTGAAAGTCACCATCAAAACTGTTGATTCCAAATGCATCAGTCTCGACCTGAGGCAGATTGGTATTCTGCGCCGTGTCGAGACAAAAGTCGGCTGCAACAGTAATAAACGCGGATGCGACGTTGCGGGCAAGGCCAAAGGCTGGCTGGTTTGGCCCAGTCAAATAGTAACGTTCAAAGATCGCAGTCACATCTGCCTCTGTAAGCTTGATGGCAAAGCTCAAGACAAGCTCGGCACTCGCTTCCACAGCCCCGCCGGTGAGCGTATAGTTGAGCTCGCTGGTATCGGGATTTGCACCGCTCCAAAGCTGAATCTTGGTTGGATCGATACTTGCAGCCACAATCGGTTCACTCATGGTCAAATGAAGACGATATTCCTGAACGTCACTAGGATATGTTACATTGACGGCGGCTTGGGCCACCTGTGGAGGCTGACGGTCAGGAATAAAAGACGAGGGAACAAGACTGTTGGCTAACAGTCGCTCGGCAAGGTCATTTCCAAACAGGTCAGCGATGGCGCCAGCTGCGTAGGCCAGTTGACTCGTGGATGCGTTGGTGGCCAAGTTGGCGAGCAGTTGCAGGTGATGCATGTCAGCAGAGGAAAGTTGCACTCGTACGCGCACACCCGAACGGGTTGTTTCACCAGCAGCACTTGAAACTAAATGAAGCAAATGCAAGTATGTTATGGTTGCGGGCCAGCAAGAAGGTGTGGCGCACAAGGGCGGGCGTTGACAGTAAAACATGCCACAAGTGCCTGTGATCAGAAGAGTCAGCGGGAGGTCACTTACGATTCGCAAAGTTTAAAACGAGTGTGTCGTCAATGCTTGGACCAACAGGGTTGACAGAGGACATGGACACGCTGATGGGGCCTTCCCGGCGGGAAGTGAGGTAGACGGCGCCCAGACCAGACACAACGGAGGCAGTCATGCCTCCAAGAGCAGTGCCGTTAGTTGCCACTTCCACGGACAAGGGATCAGCCAGCGTGACACGATTCCCGTAAGCATCGGTCAGAGTGACAGTGATGGATGCGTAAATGCCTACATAAAAGAGCTCATCCTCCGTGCCAAGCAGCAGCTGTGCTGCAGCGCCTGCTCAGAAGCCAAGTCAGCAAGAAGACAGGGTAGTGAGGAGGGGCCAGAAAAAGAACGCATGCAGCCCTTCGAGAGGTCATCATCCAAGAAGGCAATATCAGCTGATACCTGGAACAAAGGTTATGGTGACAGCGGAAGCCAGGGTGGCGCCGCTTGCACTTGAGCTTTGCATGCTAAGGATGACAGTTTCGGCGAGGCGGTCGTAGAGAACAAGGGACGCCGTGCCTTGGACAAAGGTGATTGCCTGTGTGCTTTGGTTATTAGAAAAGAAAGCACGACCGGAGACTGCCATGACCGCCGTTGCAGTGTGGTTGGTTGCCAAGTTGTCAAAGGCATCATACGCGCGCACCAGCGCCGTTGCGTTCGTGTCAGCCGAGCCCTGTGCGGCGGGGAATCCATTGACACCGCTTGTAGCATTACTCAAAACAAAGTATTTAGTTGCCCCTGTACATTGTCAAACCAAACCGTGAGTCATGGCCTCATCTTGACAGCTCAAGCGGCGAGCTGAGCGCACGCTGAAAGCTCTACCTGGTGTCAACTCAACGGCAGCAGAGACCTCAGGAGTGCCAAATGAGGCATCAGCCGCCACACCCACGATGGCTGCACCCACAGTCTTGAGATGACTGAGGTGAGTCGAGAGCAACCCGAGTGTGATGGAAGCAGCAATGTTCGTGCGTTGGCTTGCAAACTCGGTGAAAAGGGTGATTGGACCCGAAGTTGAATCAGCAATGTTGTCAAAGGCGTCACGGCCCACGACTTGAACGGAAATGTTCTGGTCAACACTCAAGGTGGATGGTACACTCAACTCAAAAGCTGCCACCGGTCCTACAAGAATGGATGCATATGTTGCATGTAGCACATCACGGGGCCAACTTGTGAGAGAGCGTCTTTGCCCGGTTGTGGTGCGTGGCGTCACGGAGATTGAGTAGATGCAAATTGAAGTGAAAACACGGGACTGCAGAACGAACCGGCAGTGAACGTGATGGACTGGGCAGCCGAGGAGGTGTCAATCCCGTTGGTGTCAGTAAACGTGAGCGCATACTCTTGAGCAATCGTCTCGGAAATGGCCTGTGAGCCCTCACCGCCGGTGATGGTGATGGAGCCAGACGTCCCGGCTGGGCTGAGGGCAAAGAGGATTGATTCGTCCTGGTTGGCGGCCAAATTGTCATATTGATCAAAAAGCTGGACGCTTACGACCACATTCTGGCCCACAGTTTGCGAGCTCACATCCAAGGTGGATGACATGCGCGAGGCGGGACCTGGCTGAACAGTGAGGAAAATATCCGAGGCCACCGTGTAGCCTGTGCTGGCTGAGTCTTGGAGATGCACAGTCAGCTCTTCAGCCAAGAATGTCTGAAGCTGTACCTGACCAAGACCATTGGTGATGGTAACGGTTCGAGGATTGGGACTTGGGCGGATAACACCTGTCCCTGATTGGTCACCTGTGACGGTGACGGTAGCGCTGGTGGATGCGGCTGACGTGGCGCGGTTGCCGTATTGATCTTGCACCTCAATATTAAGATTTGTCGCTACGCCAGCCACCACCGTGGGTTCGGTGCCAAAGCCAAGGGCTGCAGCCGGTCCTGTGAGGGATCGGGAATGCCAATCAAGGAGAGGAGGAGCGGGTGAGGTTGCACCAAGCATAAGTGACAGCAATGAGATGGTAAGAGTGTTGGGCTTTTGTCAACCGAGATTGAAGCCATACCAGGAACAATGGTGTAGACGGCATTGACCACTTCAAGACTCGCAGCAGTGCCACTGATGGTGACTGTGCCAGCAGTAAAGCCTCGAACCGTAAAACTGGCTTCACCCGATACAAGAGTGACTTGTCTGCTGGACGGTGTAAAGATGACGCTGGGTCCTGAAGCCGCGACGAGGGAGACGGTAGATGTGGCAGTGCTATCGGCAGTGCCATTGTCGTGCAAGGCTGCTACGTTAATGGTCAGAGTGGAACCAGCCCCAATGGAAGAGGAGGCCGGGGTCAGAAAAATTCGGGTTGCCATGGCCTCTAAGGGGGGGGGGGGGGGGGGGGGGGGG